TTGAAAAGCCCAAGTTATTATGTATACCATGTCGTAATTTTGGGAAACGATCTGATCATATATCTAGAGAAAACGGTTGCTATGCATATCAAATATCTGTTGGTAGATATAGACGTAACATAGATTATGGGTAGTAGTGGTAATCAGTTGTTACTGAGGATTGGGCAAATTAATATGCAAAGGAGTAAGATTGTTCCTATGGAGTTAGCGGCCTATCTAGATCTGAGTAAGCCAGATGTACTTTTAGTACAAGAGCCTTATGTATTTAAGAGAAGGATAAGAGGTTTTGGGGAACGGACTGTAGTTGTCCAGAGTACAAGACCGCTGGTATACCTTGGGCAGAATACAGCGGGGGCGGCCGGAGGGTGTTCTCCTGGGTGTCCCTATCTACAGTGTGGGGCAACGTGCTGGGGGTCCTTCATATCAGGAAGTTAGTACAATTTCAAAGAACAGTTCTTTTTATTATGACTAGAGCATATAGGACGACATCCACTTCTGCCCTCCAGGTGTTAGCAGGCGAAATGCCATTAGATTTAGAAGTGAAGTATGAATATTACACTTATTTGGTTAAGAATGGTGTAAGTTTTACTTTAGGCACATATACATTTACCCCAGGTGATCAGGTGATGAGTAGAGAAAGTATATTAGGTAAGGTAAAGAAGGAGTTACTTAAAATATGGAATAATAGGTGGATTAATGATACACATGGTAGACAGACATTTTTATTTTTCCCAACAATTTGGGATAGATTGAGGGCACACTGGGTGGTACCTGATTATTATATTTCGCAAATACTTACTGGGCATGGAGATTTTAATGAGAAACTTTTTTCTTTTGGTCTGGTTCCATCACCTTTGTGTGAATGTGGTGAAGTAGATTCTCTTGAACACTTTGTATATTATTATCCTTTGTATATGAATTACAGAATACAGTATGAATTTGGGAAAACTGGCCAATGTGCGATGTAATTGCCTATAGCGACCCAGAGATTCTTCTTTACAAACTTTTAATAAAATGTCGCTAAACGAATTATCAGATTTAAAAGTGTTGCACACCATCAATGAACCCCTCACCTCAGAGAATGAAGATACCTCGCAAATGGATTATAATGAATCTTCGTCCCAGCGGAAAAGAAGTAGTAGCGGGGAAGGTATGAATTTCTCCCCACCAGTAATAAAATGCAGGTCGAAAGGAACCCCACCGGCAAGCATCAGACAAAGTGTGTTGTCCTCACTCAGAGGAATAGTATCAGACCTGCAAGCCACATGTTTAGATCGTGATAATAAAATCACAAAGCAGGCTGCAGAAAAGGTCCTCGATCACGTAGGGGCCATACAAGATCTAATATTGAATTTCCTAACAGAGCATGAGAGATTGCAGGGCAAGTTTGATAGGCAATTAAAACTTATGGCACAAAAGCCACAGCCACAAGTGCCAGCTAGCTTCGCGGAAGTCACTAAGCGAGGCATTCAAAGGCATAATAAGACTGATGGATCGCACAAAACTCAAAAAGTGATGTTTGTAAGGCCAGAAGATCCTGGGGGTATAAAGGATAGTGATGAACTTAAAGCAAAATTCATGAAATCCATAGACCCCAGGAAAGATCGGATAAGATTCCGACAGATTCGAAAATTACGCAATAAAAGTCTTCTCTTAGAAGTAGAGAATGACGATGATATTGAGAAAATCCTTCGAAATAAAAAGTTGAGGGAATCAGGATTGAAAGCAGAGCAACAAAGTAAAAGAAACCCGAAAGTAATAATGTATGACGTTCCTCGGCAGCTAGAAGAAAAAGACCTGCTCGAGGCACTTCGGATTCAAAATCAAGAGGTGTTCTCTCCGGCAGACGGAGCCAACGATTGTAAGCTTCTCTTCAAAACTGGAAGAATAAGGGATGATCAAGTGCACTGGGTGATGGAAGTTACACCTAGAATAAGAGGAAAATTGCTTATACAGGGAAGGTTATTTGTTGACTTTAGTAGTTGTAAAGTAAAAGACTACATAGGAATAAGTAGATGTTTCAAGTGCCAGAGCTTCGGCCATGTCGCCAAATTCTGCAGGGAACAAGAGGATATCTGTTCCCACTGCTCGGAATCCGGACATAGGTACAAAGAATGTACAAAAAAGAAGGATCAGGGACAATGTGCGGCGTGCAAGAGGCTGGGGAAGCCGCATATGCACACTAGGAATAATAAGCAGTGCGCGGCTTATAAAATGGCCGTAGAACGATATCTGAACACTATATCAACTGAGTAATGGGCTCAGACATTAACATCAAAGTGATGCAAATCAATTGTGGAAGAGGTCAAATTGTCCCCGCAGAGTTAAGGCAGGCTATGGTCAGGTATGGTGCTGACATTCTGGCAATACAGGAACCATATTCCTTATTTGGTAACATTGCAGGATTCGGCATATCGACCAGAATAATGCAAGGAAACAGAAAGAACGAGGCCCCATGGGCCGGGATTGTAATACTAAATGATAGTTTTACCGTAATGGAACTAACACAGTTGAGTGACTCGCACTGTGTGTGCGCCCATATTCTTAAAGGTGGATTTGACTTATACCTCATCAGTATCTACTTTCAGTTTGGTGCCCCCATTGAAGAGGGGATTGAAAGGCTAGACAGAGTGTTGAGACACCTCCCGAACAAAAGAACTGTTGTGTGCGTTGACAGTAATGCTAAATCCCCTACTTGGGGTAGTGACAGAACAGACACCAATGGAGAAAAACTCCTGGCCCTCCTTGCAGCCCACGGGCTTCTAGTAGTAAACACACCAAGCCAGGTGTACACCTTCTCCTCAGGAAGAAGAGAATCGAATATAGACATTACTATAGCTAGTGAGAATATCTTAGCGCAAGTGAGCGACTGGGCTGTCCATAACGACTGGTGTTCTAGTGACCATAATGTAATATCATTCGCAATTAAGTCTTCTGCACAATCAACAAATTAGAAAGAACTCGGGAAATACAACACCAGTAAGGCCAACTGGAAGTTATTCAAGAGTATTCTAACCAGTGAAATCAGAAAAAGAAGGGTGACAGAAATTCGGAATGGAACGGATGCAGTGCGGCAGTGCTACGCTGTTCAAAAGTCCATCTTAAAAGCCACTAAGATAGCAATTCCAGTCAGGCAAAGTGGATACAGGCAGCAAAGATGGTGGAGTGATGAGTTGGAAAGAATTAAAACCAGGACATACAGAGAGAGAAGAATATACCAACGAAAGAGAGACCCGGGAAGAAGAGCCGAACTAAGAGCCCAATATCTTCAAAGTAAGCGTCTTTTTAGAAAGGCTGTCTCAGACGCCAAACAGAAAAGCTGGTGTAACTTTGTTACAGATACAAGCCAAACAAACCCATGGGGCCTGCCTTACAAAATACACACAGGAAAGGTTAAGAGGACTCAGATACAAGGACCGATAAGACTCTGTCCTATTGCGGCAACTGATTGCTGGCAGGCCGCCTCGAATGTCTTAGACTCTCTATTTAAACAAGATCATCAAGAAAATGATACGCCTGAACAAAGAGAGGTGAGGAGAATGGCGAATAGATACAGAGGCGAGTCAACCAGTGCTCCTTTCACAGAGACTGAGTTGAGGTGTGTCATCACAAGAATGAAAAAGGGCAAGACCCCAGGCATTGATGGAATAAACAAAACAATCTTAGCGGCAGCCTACGAGCACATTGAAGGAGATTTACTGAAGGGCTACAATGCATGTTTGGAATACAACATCTTCCCAGAAGAGTGGAAACGAGGAAGGCTGGTGACTATACTCAAACCAGGGAATAAAGATAGAAGCGACCCCAGGTCCTATCGACCGATCTGTCTCCTCCCACTCTTGGGAAAAGCGTTGGAAGGACTAATAAGGATCAAACTGAGGAATGATATGCAAGACAGCACTGCTGATAATCAATATGGATTTAGGACGGGCCGCTTCACGGATGATGCGATCATTAAGCTGAGGAAAGTGATAGAGGGCTCAACAGCAAGATACGCAGTGGGAATATTCTTCGATATCGTCGGAGCTTTTGACCACCTGTGGTGGCCGAATATCCTTGAGGAATTAGCAAGACGAAATTGTCCATGAATTTATTTTGGCTCATAAAGGATTATTTACATAAAAGAAGTGCTGCCATCATCGATGGAAATATGTGCACAATAAAGCAACTATCCTCTACGGATTCCTCGTGTCACATACGACACACAAAATTCCCATTGTTTATANGTCCAATTTTGAAAAAACAAACTGCAATACTTTCTCAAACAGTTGATTTTCACACAGCAGAACATCAATAAGTTATAGTATAAAAAGAATTTCAAACAATAAAAACTTTTTTCTCATAGTGAACCTGAAGAGGCTATACCGCGGATGCCCCCAGGGCTCCATCCTTGGACCGGATATGTGGAACTTAGTGTTTGATAGCAACTTAAGACTGTTACAAGAGAAAAATTTCACAACTATCGCCTATGCGGACGACGAGGCGGTAGTGTTGGAAGGAAACAGTAGAAGGGAGATAGAGGCTAAAGGTGAATTACTAATGACGAGTCTGGAGAAGTAAGCTACAGCCCACAAACTGAGGTTCTCAACAGAAAAAACAGTAATTGTGTTGATGAAAGGGACCTTATGTGAGGAAAGACCGCCAATTATTAAATTATACGGTACAAATATAAAGATGCAAAACACGGTTAAGTACCTTGGCTTGACCATCGGTAAAAACTTTAGTGTTATAGATCATGTTAAGAACGTAACGAGCAAGGCCACGAACTATTTCAATTGCCTCGGACGAATCGCTAAGGCAGAATGGGGCCTAAACAATCATGCAATGCATACCATATATAGAGGGCTCTTCGTGCCAATAATAGTATATGCTGCAGCGGCGTGGGCGGATAAGATTACTGCAGTAAGCAAAAGGAAACTTGTAAGCGCCCAAAGGACAGCCTTACTACGAACACTTAAAGGCTATAAGACATGTTCCGCAGCAGCACTAGAAGTTATTGCTAACGCTCTACCTATAGAGCTGGAAATACAAAAAGCAAGTGCCCGATACAAGATAAGAAAAAGAGAAAGATTCACAATCAGAGGAAGAGAGTTCGGTGAAACATCAACAGAGGAAGAAAGAAGAAACAGAGGAAGAAAGAAGAAACAGAAGAAGAGAAGTAGAGGATTTCTTATACGAGATTTGGCAAGATGAGTGGAACGCAATACAGAAAGGACGTCATACTTATAAATACATCAGTAACATAGGAAACCGAAGACAAATGAAGTGGTTGAAAAGTGACTTCTACGTAACACAGTTCCTGACAGGACACGGGGACTTTAAGCAAAAGCTAAATAGCTTCGCCTTGAGCACCACTCCAGAGTGCGAGTTCGGACATACAGACAGTGCAGACCACGTGCTATTCAACTGTGTCATCTATGACCAAGAGAGAAGAGAATCAGACCTACTGATGGAGTTATCATTACGAACCGAAGTGACAGAAGAAGACAGAAGAAGGGTAATAGCAAAACAGAACTTCCAGCAAATAAGAAGAGTAATAAGAAACATTTTCAGAAAAAGAAGCATAATAAGAAGAGAAATAGAATAAGAAGACCTAACGTACACCCAAGTAAATCAGAAAAGAATTAGGAGAACAAAAAATTGTAGATAGGGTAGCAGAAAGAAAAGAGGACAAGACCGCTGGTATACCTTGGGCAGAATACAGCGGGGGCGGCCGGAGGGTGTTCTCCTGGGTGTCCCTATCTACAGTGTGGGGCAACGTGCTGGGGGTCCTTCATATCAGGAAGTTAGTACAATTTCAAAGAACAGTTCTTTTTATTATGACTAGAGCATATAGGACGACATCCACTTCTGCCCTCCAGGTGTTAGCAGGCGAAATGCCATTAGATTTAGAAGTGAAGTATGAATATTACACTTATTTGGTTAAGAATGGTGTAAGTTTTACTTTAGGCACATATACATTTACCCCAGGTGATCAGGTGATGAGTAGAGAAAGTATATTAGGTAAGGTAAAGAAGGAGTTACTTAAAATATGGAATAATAGGTGGATTAATGATACACATGGTAGACAGACATTTTTATTTTTCCCAACAATTTGGGATAGATTGAGGGCACACTGGGTGGTACCTGATTATTATATTTCGCAAATACTTACTGGGCATGGGGATTTTAATGAGAAACTTTTTTCTTTTGGTCTGGTTCCATCACCTTTGTGTGAATGTGGTGAAGTAGATTCTCTTGAACACTTTGTATATTATTATCCTTTGTATATGAATTACAGAATACAGTATGAATTTGGGAACTTATTTGAATATAGTAAGATAGTTCAAATAAATAAAAATTTTAAAAAGATTTATATAATTTTAAAAGAAATGTTGATATATAGAATGAGTTTGCGAAAGGTATAACAGGGGTCTTAAAGAATTTATTTTAGAGTTTTACATAATGTTATATATAAATTTATAGTATTTTAAAATTTTAGGATTTATTTTAAATTTATGTCCAGTTAATACTTTGGTGTATTGTGTTATTAGATTATATTAAAGGTTGTTATGTATATATATAGATTTTAAGAACCGGTATGTCAAAAGAAGGAACGGTTATTATAGGACAGTGGGGGGACTATTGTCCCTATCTACACCCCTCTCCAAATGGGGGTTTGGTGCTTATTTGCGCCGCCCCAACTCGTACGTACCAGCCTTGTCGTGGCGGAGGGGCTCAGTACCCAGGCGCATTTTGCCTTTTTCAGCAAAGCTGTGTTGGCGTATGTCCTGGGGAAGCTAATGGTGCGACGGGGGGCTCAGGTATTGGCCGGGCCTGGACGTTGCGGCATGTGCTTTGATCGCGACCTCGAAGCAAGAAAACTGAAGGCAGTCCCCGAGGGTACAGCTTAAAAACTAAGGAAGCACACCTGGGGCGGTGTCAAGTTAGGGGCCCGGGGGGCATAGCCGTGTCTTTCTGGCCGCCCTGGTCAGGCACTGTAAAATCTTGCCCCCTGTCAGAGTGCAGGGTGGCGCCCTGACTGGGTCCCTCTGGCAGGGGGTGGAGTCCTCTGCCGAGGCCACGGGGCCTGCCTTTGGTCCTCTCTTAGGTCTCTTGGCGTGGTCGGGCCCATGCCGTTGCGGAAGGGATCGGTTCTTTACCTGGGTCTGGGGGTTTTTTGGGGTCCTTTAAATAAATATGAATAGCTCAGATACTAATAAATGTTTACAAGTGCAGGGGGAAAAGGGGAGTTGCCCAGCTCCCATTTTGTTTCGCCGGCAGGGGGATTGAGCCGGAGTATTACTAGTGATAGATCGATGCAGCAAGATAGTGTGTATGATGGTTATGGTTATATT